GGGGGGGGGAACAACCAAACCAAACTGAAGAAACACAAAAATTGCACGCATCTAAATCCCGAAAAATACTTAGGCACTAGGAATCTCTTTGACCGCATATACTCATGTTGACTTGGATCATGTTCCCATGCCTCCGGGAACACGGAGACTGCAGGGTCAGCACATGAAGAGTTGTCATCTCTAGGCGAGGTTGATAGAATTAGATCTCAGCCCAGAAGCCACAGATTGATTTCCTTTGCTTTTAAATCAAGTGATTATAAAGAACACCAGCACATGGTTCCATAGCAACAATTCTGACACATAACTTATTTTTATAGACCTGTACAGCATTATAGATATTGCATATAACCCAGATGTTCTTCAGAGGGGAGAAGAAAACCCAGAAAAAATGGAACACTTGATCCGTTTGACACTTAAATTCGTTGAGGAACGATGCAACCTTATTCTGTCTTATTTGTACACCATTGAATCATTCAAATTGAAAGGAAGCCTGGAAACAATGCAGCAGCGTCTGAAAGGAAGGCAGATGCCAACTCCACATCTCAGTCAGAACACTAAGAAGGGTATGTAGAGATCTGCTGTCACTTTTGTTCGAGGATCTGTTCAGATTCTCCAACAAATTTACTCAAGCCTCATCTCTCTAACCCCAATTCTTGCCGTAAGCATAAACCAAATGCTTCTCTGTAAGAATTCAGAATAAGGCAGTAGTATTCATACCAGACATCAGTTTAACCCTGCTGGCCTATCTGTATTCATCTCTGATATTGAGAAACTGTAGTGACACTAGCACAGCAAATTCCCTTTATCCTATATCCACTAGACATGGGAACTCTGCTAGGGTTTGATCCTTTGAGGTGCTAAGTTTCTTTGCTCTAACCTGAGTAAAAGGGGTTGCTGCTCTAACTACTAGTCTGAAAACAACAACTGTTAACCTGTTGGCAATAAAACCAAGTCATGGGCGAAGGAGAAACTACCAGTAACAATCTTCAGCTGACAAAATTGCTAGTTAACAATTAATCACAGTTAAAACTTTAGCGCTGTATTTGTCAAGTGGCTTAAGAGTATGGTTCTAGTAACTGAGTGGTATGTGTGAACAACTTATTTTTCTTGAAAGAACTGACACTCAATGAGCTGCTACACGCTGTGGAAGCTGAGGACTGCAGCAATGCTCCTGTGCTGCTGAAGGAAGAAAGTGTGACACAGTCTAAAGTGCATCTGATAGAGGAAATTACCAGTACTGAAATGCCAGAGAAGCTAAGTACCCCTGTCTATGAAATTACCACCGTGAAGGATGCAAACAAGAAACCACTCAAAATTGAACTCAAAATTGAATTGCCTAAGGTTAGCTCTGTTTCTGAGTGTGATCTGAGAATATCAAAGGTAAGATAGCAGAAAGAATAACCTTGTGTTTTCTGTCTAGTATCCAATTCCTAGAAATGCTCACTGCTAATTCGTTGTCAAATAGTTAATCAAGTGTTTTCATTTTCTTGGTTTAGGATGACATAATCATTGAAGTCCCCAAAAAATACAAACTACAACTAGATCTGCCAGAATTGGTGGATGAAGAAACAACTACAGCAGTATTTCACAAAGGAAAACGGGTATTGTTTATCAGTGCCAGTTGCCAAGCCAGATCCTTAAAGACTGCATTCTGTCCAGTTCATGTTCACATATGTCAGAACAAAACAAAAGCCCAGAATGAGAATCCTAACTTTTAGGTGGTGATGAGTTTGGGTTTTTTTTATTGACCTTCTAATCTTCAGGGGTGAATACCTCAAATGCCTTTAGAAGATGCATGTAGAAAAGGAGTTTTTTTATTGACCTTCTAATCTTCAGGGGCGAATACCTCAAATGCCTTTAGAAGATGCATGTAGAAAAGGAAGTCTGGAGGAATACTAGCACCACCAAACTTAGGAAAAAAATAATTAAAGATTGTAAATATTCAAGGAGTACTTGAGTATGCTAATAGCTGTAGTAATGAACCATAAATGCATACATGCTTTACTACATCATTTGTTTTGCCTTAAGGTACAGCAATAAAAGTTGTTAAGTCTTTTTGCTAAATAAATCGATTACTGGATTCACATGCTCTCACATGTATTTAATGCTGGAACAACCAGCAGAGGTGTGTCATACAGAGTTCTACAAGTTGCCCTGCATGCTGTTGCTGTTCTCTTCAGGACAATTCCTG